AACCACCCAAACCTATTCCTATAGGTTGGGTACTGCCCCCACCCAGTAACAGTCTATATTAGGGGTCCTAGTAAGGGCTATGTACAACCAAATTGGAATTATGATCCAACTGTTACTGAGGGGGGGCAGTACCCAACCAAAGGGTTTTGATCCTAGTCAATTAGGTCCATCTTGGGCACCAACAAAGTTGCCTTTCAACAGCCAACATCCTGGACTATTGAGGCCTCGTCGCCTGGGAAACTTGCTTGAAGCCCTGGGTGGTTTCAGAGGCCCGTGAACCTGGCCCTAAACCCTAGACCCTAAATCTTAAACCCTAAACCCTAAATCGTAAACCTTAAACCCTAAACCCGTAAACCCTCTAGCTAGGAAGCTGTTGGGACGCTCCTTGGGGGTGAAAGGCCCTTAACATGGGCGCGCTGGAGCTCCGTGGGGTAATGGATCAAGATGAGCCTAATGTAAACCCCTGATTAATAAACCCTCTCCCCTTAATAGGGAAGAAAATAGGGATCCTAATATTAAGCCGCTTAAAAGGAGGGGGTTTATTAATCATGGGTCTACATTACACGCCTCCTCCAACCTTTCAGCCCGCCATTTGGGTGGTTGTCAAAATTATGGTCCCCTTTTGGGTACCCCAAATATTAGGTGCGGTGTTATCATAGGGATCCAAAAAGGGACCATAATTTTGACAACCCTAAACCCTAAACCCTAAACCCGCCTGACGTAGGTGCTACTGCTGCGAGAAGGCAGGGCATCGTCTTGGGTCGTGCGTTCCATCCAGGTCCAAAGGCATAGACGCCGCCCACCATCGTAGGTGGGGCTATGAGCTTGGAAATTCGGGTGGAAGATATCAAGAACACCCCTGAGGGAATAGGGTGGGTGTATACGGAATTGGGTTTAAGCTGTAGGTTCGGCTCCCTTTTTCAGGAGAAGAGCAAAGGGATTGGCTTTCAAGAGTAAATTAGGCTTTGGGGCGATGCTGCTGGAGGCATCAAGGCGTCAGGTTAAAAGGAATTATTTGGGTGGTTGTCAAAATTCTGGTTTTTTTTGGATCCCTATTATAATACGGCACCTAATATTTAGGGTACCCAAAAGGGGACCAGAATTTTGACAACCACCTATTTGGAGGTTTCGGGTACCTCCCCGCCTTGCGCATGGGCACGACTGGAAGACGCAATCTCCCAAATTGTTGTCCGCGACGGCTCCTATCTGGAGACCGCCCCCTCCTGATGCACATCTTACATGAGGGCCACGGCAAGGGCAGGGCAGGGCAGGGCAGGGCAAAGGTTTGCCGGGATCCTGTATCGGGCTG